TGACTCCCAATCGGACTACGATCGTGCGCTCTATGGTGGTCCTTGGACCATTGACGATCATTACATTGTCTCTGAGCCATGGAGACTCGACTTTGATCCAGACTTTGATTCAATCAACCATATCTCAGCCTGGGTAAGACTTCCTCGCCTCCCGCTAGCTTATTTTGACGAAGAGATCCTCAGGGACATCGGGAAAAGGCTGGGGAAGGTCCAAAAGATTGACTACAACACAGCTAATGGCTTCCGAGGAAACTATGCACGCATCTGCGTCGAGCTTGACTTAAGGAAAAGACTGGTTTCGAAATACAGGCTGAAGAGGAGGGTGCGCAGAGTGGAATACGAAGGTCTCCATGTGGTTTGTTTCAGCTGTGGACGATACGGCCACCTTGAGGCAAACTGCCAAACCAACGCAGAAGCAGAGATGCCATCTTCTGACCAGAAAGAAAGCAACAACCAGCTCACCACCACCTCGACCCAGGTAAGACCTGAAGTTTTGGAAGATTTTGGCCCATGGATGCTTGCTGAAAGACCAAAAAGGATTAAGAACCAGAGGAAGATCCGCGCAAACGAAGGGGATAACAAAAAGGTGAATACAACTGAAGAAGGAACAAGCCCTGGATCTCGCTTTAATGTTCTTGAAGTTGAAGATAGCCAAACAGAGGAGGGGGAAAACAAGGCTCCCATGGCCGGCCAATCGAATAATACTGAGGCTGAGAAACAAGCAGAAGTTCAGGCACCTGGAGCCTCTGCTGATAATGGGATCCAGGAGACTGTGAAAGATAAGAAAAAAATGAGCAAGGAGAGTATGAGTTCAGAGGAAGAAAGCACCAAAGGGGGCAAGAACCAAAAACAGAACAACCTACACAAGAAAGAGTATCAGAAAAATACACCTGAGATGATAAAACAGCAACCCAACAACCGTGGATCCAATAAGGCCTCAAGAGTGGACTCAACTGCGAAGGAGCAGCCTCAAACCCAGACTACCTTGACACCATCAGTGCAGAAAGACGACAGGACAAACAAAGCAAAGGCTGATGGGAAATCTGCATCTGGTGCCAAGAAATCAGGAAGTGAGAAGGGCTCAACCAAAGAGGCAAGAGTTGGACACCTGCCAAACACGAAGACACCAGTTACCAGCAAGACTTCAAGGAAAGAAAACACTAATAGCTTAGGGGAAAGTACCAGCAAAGGAAGAAATATCATCTTCTCCCCAAAGCAAGTGAATGGTAAGGCCTTGCCAGAAAATGCACAACCTTCTCCTACCATTCCTATGGAATGCACTGCAGGGAAGATGAGGCGGCTATGGCCGTCGATCTTTGTTGATCTCCAACCTTAGGGTTGCTCAGGGAAGCATCTAACCACCATCCCTATGGTTAAGATCTTCTCCTGGAACTACAGGGGGGCTAAACACCCCAAATTCCTGCCAACATTTAAGATGTTTAAAGAAGAACACCAGCCTGATATTGTTTGCATTTTGGAACCCAGAATTAGTGGGAAGGATGCAGTTGATGTCATCAAGACTCTGGGATATGACACCTGGGCTATCTCTGATGCTACAGGATATAGTGGAGGCATCTGGGTTCTCTGGAACCAGAACGAGCTGGAGATGGAAGAGGTTGATAGTCATAAGCAGTATATCAGCCTGAAATGCCCATCTGCTAGTGTGGAAATCTTTCAAATCACTGCTGTGTATGCCAGTCCCAACGAGCATGACAGAAAGGAGTTGTGGGATGCTATGAGAAGAACAGAAAGATCTACCTGGATCCCATGGATTCTTATAGGAGATTTCAATTCCATTTCTAGAGCTTGTGAGAAACAAGGGGGTGCTGCCTTTAACTTTGCTAAGGTTCGTGCATTCAATGAATGTATGGAAGATTGTGGCCTCTTGGATACAGGTTTCACTGGACCTAAGTTTACCTGGTTCACAAGAAACAGTGGTATCAGAGAAAGACTGGATAGAAGCATCTGCAATCTCAATTGGCAGCATAAGTTCCCTGGAACCACTACCCTTCACCTCCCTAAAATCAAATCGGATCATAGACCGATTTTGACTTGCACCTCCACTGAACCTGCCAAGCTGAAACTGGCCAGAAGGTTCCAGTTCCTTGCCTCATGGCTTGCACATGAGGACTTTCCTGACTTCTTGGATGTTGCCTGGAGTGGTGGAGGAGACTTCCCACGAGCCTTGCACAACCTTGCTGAGAAGCTCAAGCAATGGAACAAGGAAGCCTATGGCAATATTTTTAGAAGGAAGAAAAAGTTGCTGAGTGAGCTCAAATCACTTGAGCTGCTGAATGAGAAAAGACCTACAACTACTTCAATGGAGAAAGAACAAGAGAAAAGAGAGGAATTGGAGGACACTCTCTGGCAGGAAGAGATGCTTTGGATTCAGAAATCTCGAACTAACTGGGTGATCTATGGAGACCTGAACACTAGGTACTTCCACACCTGCACCCTCAGCAGAAGGAAGAGAAACAAGATTACCTGCCTTCAGGATGATCATGGGCAGTGGATCAGTGATGCTGACGCCCTCCTCACCATGGCCAGGGAGTATTTCTTGAATCTCTTTACCAAGTCTGTTAGGATTGATTGTCAGATCATCCCTGCTCACTTTCCTATCATCGATGTTGCCTTGTTGAATAGATTGTCCTTCTGTCCTAACCAGGAAGAGATTAGATTGGTGATTAAGGAAATGAATGGTCTTAAGGCCCCTGGTAAAGATGGCTTCCAAGCTATCTTTTACCAAAAATGCTGGGATTCAGTTGGAGGGGATTTCTCCACTTTCATTGCCTCTTGTTTCAGGAACCCTAGCAGAATTAAAAGTCTAAATGAAACACTGTTGGCTTTGATCCCAAAAGTGGACAACCCTACCTCCATGAAACAGTTTAGGCCTATTAGTCTCTGCAATGTGGGATATAAAGTTGTGGCTAAACTTATTGCCAATAGAATTAAACCTCTTATGGCTAAGTTAGTTAACAGTTTCCAATCCAGCTTCATACCTAACAGACACATCACTGATAACATTATCATAATGCAGGAAACTATTCACTCGATGGCCAGGAAAGGAGGAAAGAAAGGCTACATGCTCCTAAAGATTGATCTTGCAAAGGCCTACGACAGAATTGAGTGGGAATTCCTTGAAGACACACTCAGAGCTGCAAGGCTACCTGATGAATGTGTTAAGATGATAATGGAATGTGTTACTTCAACAAGCTACCAAGTGCTGTGGAATGGAGGAGAGACTGAAAGTTTCAAGCCTACTAGAGGATTAAGACAGGGATGCCCCCTCTCTCCCTATCTTTTTACTCTTTGTATTGAAAGATTGAGCCACTGTATCTCCCAGGAAGTTAGTAATCATAGATGGAAACCTATCAGACTCTCACCTGGAGGGCCAGAACTGTCTCATCTGTTCTTTGCAGATGATCTAGTCTTGTTTGTGGAAGCTAATCCCCAACAAGCTGAGATTGTTATGGAGTGTTTAGACAGCTTCTGTGCTGACTCAGGAGAGTCTGTTAGTAAGGAGAAGTCTAGGGTGTTTTTCTCTAAAAATGTGAAGAACCAGACTAGGAATGTGATATGCAATAGACTTGGTATGCAGGCAACCAATGACCTAGGAAGATACCTAGGTGTTCCTGTTATCCATGGTAGAATAACCAAGGCAACCTACAAGTATATCCTGGATAGGATTGACCAAAAGCTTACCAGTTGGAAAGCCAGAACTCTGTCACTTGCTGGCAGAGTCACCCTTGTTGTTTCTGTTTTGAATGCCCTTCCCACATATGCAATGCAGACTACTTTCTTGCCTGCTTCCATCTGTGATGCTATTGATAAGAAAGTTAGATCCTTTGTGTGGGGTTCTAGGGATGGGAAGATGAAGTCCCACCTGGTGTCTTGGGAGAACATTTGCAAACCCAAAGACCAAGGTGGGCTGGGTCTTAAGTCTGCCAGAAATATGAACATGGCCTATATGATCAAATTAGGATGGAATATGCTGAACAAGGAATCTGACTTGTGGGTTAGAGTTTTGCAGGGGAAATACTTTAAGCATAAGGATGGGGAAATTCTGTCAATGAAGAAAAGAAACCACTCTAACCTGTGGAAAGCTGTGATCAAGGGAATGAACTTGATGAAACAGGCTACCTGCTGGAGTATTAGAGATGGGAGATCAACTCGCTTCTGGACACAGCCTTGGGTGGACAATGACACCATCCTGCTGGACCATGCTACCACTGACATCACTGAGGAGGAGAGGGGCTCCTTTGTTGCTGACTGGATTACTAAGGAAGGTAAGTGGGATTGGGACAAGTTAAGAATGTGCTTACCTGATGACATCCTCTCGGCTATTGCAGGTATTGATGCACCTAATCAGGAGCTTGGAGAAGATACCACCTTCTGGGGAATGGAGCAAGATGGCAGATTCAGCCTCAAGCCCGCATACAAACTGGCTGCAGATATGGAGGAGATGGAAGCCAGTGGGAAATGGAAGGATCTTTGGAAGTGGAGAGGGCCAAATCGCATCAAACACTTTCTTTGGCTTGTTACCCACGACAGGCTCCTCACCAACACTGAACTGACAAGAAGAAAGATCTCTAATGTCAGCTTGTGCTGCCATTGCAAAGTGGAAGATGAATCAATCGAACATATCCTGAGAAATTGCAGCAAAGCGAAAAGAATTTGGGAGAAGTTCATGATGAGTGATGTCACTAGGAATGGAGGAGTTCCCTTCTCTGAATGGCTCTCCCTCAACATCAAACATGAACCAACTGCCACTGATTTTGGGATTATCTGCTGGCAACTGTGGAAGCAGAGAAATGAGGAGGTTATGGAGGGGAGAATTTTCTCTCGTGACAGTGTTTGTGCCAAGATCCAAGCCTGGTTCAACATTGTGCAGAAAGCTAACCAGAATATCCAGAAAACCTTTTCTGTTGTTAGACCTGTCAAACAGAGCTGCCTTATTGGCTGGAAACCACCTGGAGAAGGCTGGATACAACTTCAATCGGATGGCTCGGTCCTCTCTCCCAGTGGTAAAGCTGCTGCGGGGGGTTTGCTCAGGGATCACACAGGGAAGTGTCTTGGAGCATACGTTTGCAACCTCGGCCACTGCTCCATCACAGCTGCAGAGCTAAGGGGAGCCTTGGAGGGACTCAATATTGCTTGGAGAGCAGGTTACCGCAAGATTCAACTCAGCATGGACTCCACCACAGCGATTAAAATCAACGACAGAAGATTGGAAGATGATCATCGACATGGCAGCATTGCCAAACAGTTTAACCACCTTTTGAACCTTCAATGGGATGTTCGTGTGTCTCATGTGTATAGGGAAGCCAATTCGGCGGCCGATTTCTTGGCTAGCAAGGCTCATAGTCTCAATTTTGGTACACATCCTTTCAATGTGTACGAAAAAGATCTTGTCCATTGGATCCGACACGATGTAATGGGAGTTTCCCACGAAAGGTTTATTTCTAATGTTACTTAGGCGCATTGCGTCTACCTTCTTACAAAAAAAAAGAGGATAAATTTTGAAAGTTGTTACACTAACCTACTGTCAAATCTTTATGTCCAAAAGTCAAAACGAAAAATTTTATACATTTTCAGGCAATAATCCTTGTACTTTCCCAAAGTAATGTGAATTTAATATCACGGAATGGAATTGGATTTCCAATTTGGTTTTAATAACACTCCTACTAGAAAATAGTAGCATCAGCATCCTGATTTTGAAAGTGCTAATGTTTTTTATTTACAATTTTGGAGTTGACTCAACAATCATTGGCTCTCTTTTTTCTCTCTTCCTATTTTTTCATGAATGGGTGCTGCTTTTATTCATCTGACACTATATATACAACAGTACTCTCCAAACCATTACAGAAGAATCAGTTCCAATGGAAGTCAAATTAAGAAAAAGGGCTTCTATACATCATTTGTTCTGACTACCCAGCAAGCTCCAACTACATTTAACTCTTTAACTTTTGTACGAAACCTATTTTTCTCTGTATGAAACCTAGGGTTTTTTTAATGATGATGTCAGACTCATTGTTAGACTCGCTGCCAAGTGGCGAGGGCTCGACGTGGGCGCAGTTTTGGCTGTCGATCCGGAGAATTCGATTCAATTTTGTCACCTAGAGAGAGTTAAGGATGGGTTCCGACTCCCAAATGTGGTCAAGAATAAAGGTGTTGAGTGGAAAGATTTGCTAATCGGTCAGTTTTTTGGATCTTGGTCGAGGGTTACCGCTCTTCATGCATAAGAAGTTGGGGAGAGAAAGAGTGATTGTACTTAAGAGGTTATTAAGGGGTAGATGAAGTTGGAAAGACTAAGGGAGATAGTATTGAAGATGAGAAACCCAAAGATCATGAACAACAACTGGAAGTTGTAACTAAGGCTGTTCAGGTTGAGAGGATTGTAACTCTTCCATCAATTGGGAGTCCTCCTCTTAGCTTTGCATAGATTGTAAGAGGGTCACCAGAATTAACCGGAGCTCAAAAACAATAGGAAAAATGGGTGAGACTACTTAAGTTACCAATCGAAGGAAATGTAAGGGGAGTGAAAAAGTGGGAGGAAAACGCAACTCCCTCTAAGCTTTCCTTTGTTCTTTTAGACCATCTTTATCCCTAAAATTGATTGGAAATTTCTAAATGTGGGACCTTAAAGCCACATCATCAACTTTAGCAATTTTTCACTAAGCAATTTCTAGTCATTAGCATTCCTAAAATTTGTTAGCAATTTTTAATATGGGTCCCACCCACTATTCAAATCTACCAAACACTTTACAATTAAAGAGATTATCTGACTAATAAAAATAGAAAATAAAACAATTACACATATGGCATCGCTAGGGGACTTTTTTAATTAGCAATCTTGCTAATTTAGCAAGAACCTCTCCATCACTAGCAATTGCTAAAACTTTGCAACATTGGCTCTACCTCACTTTAGCAATTACTAAAAATTGCGGATGGAGATGGTCTTAGCTCCGGAAGTCTGGAATGGTAGGGAGGGAAGGAAAAGAGGTAGAAAATTTACTGTGAAGAGCACCCCTCTAAATCGGAGGGAAACTATAGCGTAGCTCCCTTTTGCTCGTTATTTATTTTTCTTTATTTCTTCAAATTTCCTTTCTTTCATTCTCTCTCCCGTAAAAATTTCCTCTTTCCCCCTCTCTCTTTCATTCTCTCGTCCACATTACTAATATAGGGTGGTTTAAGATTAGGGCTGTCAACCAGTCGGTTTCAGTTTAACCAAAAACCGAATTCTCGGTTTTCGGTTAAACCGAGACCTGACCAATTACCACCGGCCACCGACCGACCCTGGGGACTAGGTTATCCGTAAACCCACCGGGCGGTTTCGGTTAAGGCACGGTTAAACGGCAACACCGAAAAAGGGAGGGGCGGTTCGGTCTGCTGTCCTAACCGACCGAAGACCGCCAAAAACCGACCGGTCAACCTACACAAACCGACCGCCAAAACCTAAAACCCGACCGCCAAGACCGAAAACCGACTCTAAACCGATCAAAACCGACCAGGCAGCAAGGGAAAAAACCTAAAATGGCCTAAAATTAAAATCTCAAACCTACATTTCAATTCGTTTTGCACCGAAAATACATCTAAATTAGCAACTTAATGTCTCATATTCATTAATTCAACAACATAAACTCCACAAATCACAATAAGTCCTCTAGATAACAACAAATCAACAACACATCATAAACAATCTATCATCACTTATCACCGGCCTTAGAAGAACCAACATCTGCATAACCCTGTTCTTGCAATACGGGAATCAAGTCATGACCATAATCGTCATATCCATCTTTCTCATACTTTTCCTCCGGTGCATCTTCTTCACCCTCCTCCTCATTCTTCACTGGAATGTTGAGGCTTGCATCTGTATTGCCAACATTGCCAGTATTCGTTGCACTTTCCATTCTAGTTTGGAAAGTGACATTAACTAAGTAAGAAAAAAAAAAGGAAAACAAAGTGTTAGTACTTTTCAAAGTATTAGTACATTGAATTAGGTGAAAAGAAGACAAAAAACTGAACAATAAGAGAGTTTGAGAAACTCACTACTTTCCAAAGTCAAATTCTCTTCATCATCTTCCTTGTCGTCAATCTCCCTGGATCCGGGATACCTTATCCAATCCTCGGCACAAATCAATGCCTCTACCATTAGGTCGCTCAAAGAGGACATGAATGGACTGAGAATCCGCCCGCCACAACTGAATGTTGCCTCTGAGGCAACAGAAGAGATAGGAACAGCTAGTACATCCTTAGCCATCTCAGCAAAAATCGGATAGATTCCAGAGTGTCGAGACCACCAATCCAAAATGTCAAACTTTGCATCATCACTCTCTTCATTGATACCATCAGTTTAACATTTCAAATAGATGTCAAGCTCAGCAGAGCTACCTCCTGTTTCCAGCAGAAGTGCTTCCATTTTTCTCTTTCTAAGCCTCTCCTCCAATATCTTAATCCGATCACCACCACCATCAACAGAACCCTCATCAACAATGTTATCATCAGTGGTAGGCTCAGATGCTAACTCTGCTCCATACTTCCTCTTATAAATCTCAAACATCTGCCGCATCTCCCTTTTAATCCTAGTCTGAATTTCCCCTCCTTTGAGACTTCCATAAATCATTACCAACACTTCAGACACAAGATCAAGTTTACTTCTAGGATCAAGCACACACGCTATATAGATTAAATGATTCACCCGAGGATTCTCCTCATTCATGACAGGTGTGTCAAACCAATACTTTCGTACCTTTTCTTCAACCTTTTCTGCCATCCTTTTGAGCTCTTCACGCGGATTATTCTTCAATTCTTGAATGATGTCATAAATTGGAACAAGTTTCTTGAAGAAAAGATGGGTAGTCACATATTTAGTTCCTGTACAAATGAGAATAGAATACAGGAAATTAGACTTAAACAAATCAAAATTGACAAATGTTCAAATTAAAATAAAAAAATTGTCAAATTTCACTTACCCGAGACTAGGAGGGTAAAGTCATTAAATACCTTCAGATACTTCATCAACTTTCTAATCATACTCCAATCATGTTCAGTTGGAAGACCACCTCTTGCGTCAATATAATCCCTGAAGGAATGGTCATGTATACTTGTATACAAAGTGGTAAACACTCCACCAAACCTCTCTGCTGCTTCTAACATGATATAGGTGGAGTTCCACCTGGTCGGTACATCCAAACACACCAATTTGGTAGAATCCAACTCCAAAAATTGCCTAGCAGTCTTGAACCTTGCCAACCTAGCTGGCGATGACCTCACCCACTTCACACAGTCCCGAATTCTATCCACAGCTCCTCTGATTACTTTCAATCCATCCTGCACTACCAGATTAATGATGTGTGCGACACATCGAAACTGCAGATACTTCCCATCCATCAAATCACACCCCCACGCCTTTAATTTCCTTCTCATGCAATCACTCACAATATCATTTGTAGATGCATTGTCCATGGTCATGTAGAACAAATTCTTCACCTTCCATTCTTCAAGAATTTCTGCAAGCTTCTCTGCAATATCCTTTCATGTATGACTTGTGATGGGAACAAAGGAGATCACCTTCTTCTGCAACTTCCAATCACCTCCAAAAAAGTGAGCAGTCACACACATGTAATTTTTGTTGTTGTCAGAAGTACACGTGTCTGTGGTGATTGAAACTCTGCCTTTGCTCTTTGATTCAAAAAACTCTATCAAATTCATCTTTTTCTCCAAGAATATATGAAAGCAATCATCTCTTATACCTCTCCTCCTAGGTATCTTAAACAGTGGCTGAACCGTATGCATAAACTGCTTAAACCCGTCTCTTTCCACAAAGCGAAAAGACAACTCATCCATTATAATCATCATGGCTAAGGCATATCTTGCTTTTGCTTGATCAAATTTCCATAAAGCACTTACTTGACTACCATCTGCGGCCTGCAAGTTCAGAACAGTCTGATCCTTGGATGCTGCAACCTTAGCCAAACATGTCCTCCGATGGTTATTCATTGCAGAAGTGCCGTTCCTGGATGGATGTGCTTTGATCTTAGTGTGACAATGGTTGCACTCTCCAAACGGATATTCATCCACCGCCACCTTCATAAAGTCCTTCCAGCAATCAGCTGTACCTGCT